ATATTAATATAAAAACAGTACTGTACACAATAAATCAGGCATAATAACTGACGAATAAACTGGCTTATTACTAAACATTTATCACATATTTAATGATCAAAGAGTTACTATGGTATATTGGGCAAATCAATAACCAAATACGCCTTGGAGGCGTACAAATGTTCATTAGATATTATACATTTTAAGCAAAGTTCGATTCTGTTTAAGTATCAAGCATTATTAAATAACAGATGATATTGTAAGCCTATTGAGAGGAATTTATGTGTTTTCATATCAATATATATTATGTTAGATTGGTATTATAAACTGAAATTTGTCATTGTTAATCCTTGACTTCATGCTTCATATTTAGATGTAAATTATAATGTTGTATATATATGTGTGTATGGGCCAGAGGCCTGATTATACAAATAAATAAAACTGTTAAAACTGAAAAGTGTTTAAACGCTTTTCATTTTGGGTCAGTTTTTTTTACAATTTGATAAAAAAAGTATGATTTCTGCTCTTCATTTGCAGCACATTTTGTCATAATACAAAGGGGCAATAATCATAACAAATATTGCTCTAAGCTTGCTTACTTCCCTTTGATTATTATCAAATAACTGTTAACCTTATAAAATACCATTTTAAACATATAAATCTTAACAGAGATCAGGACATAAATATTGATATCATAAGTTTGAAAACAGATGACCCTTCGATAGAGAACAATCAAAGCAAAAACTAAAACAAATGTAGTAAAAAATCTCAGACTCAGTTTTCGTGTTGAGTCTATTCATGGAAGGAGTCTGTTCATGGGGCATAATGAGAACTGCAACATCTGTTTTGCTGGCATTCAAATTCAAACATTAGACGTTTTTACAAAACAATAGAAAAATCCCTTATTTAGAGGAACTAGATTTAGTAAATTAGCACCTTGAATATATAATAAAGTATATACCTTAAGTTGAAATAAAAAGAAACTTATATAAAATTGCATATTGCATCTCATTAACAAATACTGTAAAAGAATATAATATTTTATTGACATATCACTTTATAATAAGAAAGAGAAAAACAAATATCTAGTGATATCTGCTTAAAATGGAAAAGATATAATTTATGGTATTTGTATTAAACAATCTAATTAAACTTTTAGTACTGCTGGAAGTAATATGCAACAACAGTTTGCCAATGTTGCATTTTTCCTAATAAATGTAACATCAATCCAAATCATATAATTTGACACCAAAAGGTAAAACACTGTAAATAAAGTAAAATCAATCAAATAATGCCAATTAAATACATGTAATGTATACGTACTGATTCTTCTTACTGAACATCACCAGTCTTATAAATTGTTGGCATTTACTTTACATGTATACTCTAATAAATACCCTCAGGGGCATTAAAATTTCAAAAAAGTGGGCTATAATTAAAGTACAAAAAGGTTCAAAATTAAAAGAATCTACTGTTTTTGTGTTGTTTACCACTGGGTTATATATAATGCAAAGATGCAGTATTAAACTTTGTGTTGATTTCCTTGATCTTTTTAATATACTGCTATTGAACGGTTTTCCTTTCCTATCTCTAAAAAGGGTAGGGGAGAGGAGTATTATTAGAGAATATAAATTCTAACATTTTTACTTCCAGCTCATATTTTTCAAAATATAGAACATACTTAACTAATTAGTAATTGCATAAGAAGTTGGAAATAAAATGAATTATACAATGCATTTCAGGTAGAATAACAGCATTACATAAAATAATTAATGATAATAATAACAGACATAACTAGAACGAACATCTGTAGTGATGTTTTGTGGAGAAATATTGTAGAAACTGTTTATGGAATGGTGTATTTATCAGTGGCATATACATTATATACACCACCCCCTTGTCCAGACTTATCATCTTGCACTTGACCTAACCAAATCTTTAGCAGTTTTTTTTCTGACTGTCGAGCATCTAAAACAGAGGGTGGGTCAAGAGGATTGGCTGCTCGTAAATCTAGATGGTGGTGACCAGAATCAACAAGGGCACAATGGAAGAAGATGGACTTGTGGTTACGCCACCAGATGACGAGGGGTCAAGAGCTCCGTTTCTGAAATGACATAATATCATGTAATAGTTTGTATACTGTGACAATTCTAATCTGTAATATCATTGTATCCACATCTGCCTCTTTTGATATTACACAGCTGATTACATTATATATGTTTTATATTAATATGTATGACATTTTTCTTCATATGGTTCCTGCCTTACCGTTTCCTCTGCTGAATTTAAGTAATAGACTTATCCTGTTTTGAATTTGGAACTGTTCATTTAATGATTTTGGGAAACAAACTGTAAAGAATCAATTATTGTAATGGATTAAATATTATAAAATGCAAAAATTGAGCTGCCAACGGTATAGAGCCTGATCAAACTGCACAGATGCGCAGGCTGGTCTAGTTCTGTACTGGTGGCAACGGCTAATCACTTTCTGTTAATGCAGGTTAATAGCTAAAACAAACTTGAAAGAGCTAATGAGTTACATGTCTCTTTACACTGCCTGAGAGTCACTTAGATGTGACCATGGTCAGTTTGAACTCAAAATATTTTAATAATGAAATGAAAGATGACATTCACGATGTTTATGCTTTATGAAAAAACATTTGTTACATCAGTAAGTAAATTAAAATCATCAACAGCATTAATCTTCGACCTTACGACATTTATCCATCAATCATAATTATATTTTGTTTTATAACAAGTAAGAGCAACCTGTACAGAAAATCATATATAGAACTTTAATAATTGAAAATAAAATATCAAAGAATAATTTTAATGAGACATCAGTATGCTTGGTTTTGAGTGATCTGCTCTTGAAAACAAGCAAAAACTTGCTTTCAGAGACAGATAACTCAATATAATAATGTTGACCCACGTTTTATTTCAATTGGTTTCAGTCATAATGAAATTATGTTCACTAGGTTAAATTTTCATTCAAATCACAGATATATATATATATACTGCCTGCAGTTTTCAAGTGTTGTTAAAATTTTGAAAAAGAAAAGTTTCATAATACCCGAATGAAAAAAAATATGTTGGTATATTTCCTTATCAGCAAATGGAGAATACACAAAATCATTGCTAAACAATTAAAATCCTATTTAAGATTGCATTGTAGTATTTTGTTCCTGAACACTTGATTCTGTTACAGTAAAGTTTTCATTTGTGTTATATAATAGAAACATTCTTTGTTACAACTCTTTGGATAATCAACCATAAGAATATGAACAACATATGGAAACAGCATACATTTACCATTTAACATTTAACGTTTTAACAATTTATAATAAGATTTCATTACACATAGCTCTTCATACCCCTTTGTATTTTTAGTTGCATCATAAAAGCGCAATTCACAACAGAAATAAGTCAATACTTCATATCTTTGACAATATATAATACAACATATATACAGATTACTCAATTCATGAAGAAACTGAACATGGAGAACATTTTCACTAAGTTATATTAAAATCCATCCATGTATATAGAAGTTATACTCGCAAATGAATGTTTTATCTTGTTATTTGACCTTTGACCCCTAAGTGTGACCTTTGCCACAGACACCTAAATTTTTCACGTGACATTTCCTTACTATGGAGAATACGTTATACTCTGGCATGTGTTTGGACTGACCCCCAAATGTGACCTTGACCTTTGAGCGGCGGAACCTGGTTTTCATTTGCTACACACAACCCTATCTTTGTGAACATTTGTACCAAATTATTTTGCAATCTTTCAAAGAATAAGCAAGATATAGACTGGACAAATCCAGATGCACGAACAGACAAAGGTACTGACACACATACACCAAAATATCCGCATAAAGTTGCGACTAAGTCAAGCTCATTGCAAACGGGCTCGGCAATATATTATTCACTTAAGAAATACCTTTTACTGATAATACTTTGAAACTTGCAAGGAATAAACAATAATACCATAATATCTTCCGTGAATCTTCATTTATTTTACGGCTTGTGAACCTTTTATATGTTGTAACTAGATAATGATGTGTTCATAATATACACATCCTACCAATGTAAAGGTGTGCAATTGATAAACAAATGTTTATTTTTGTGAGGTTTTTTACAAAGAGGTAACTGTTTATTGTCCCTGTCATACATAAAATAGGGTCGGGATCCATACATTATTTCAACTTACAATTTATTGTAATGTTATGAAAAACATAAGGGCATAATACGTTTATATCATACATAATTCTATGCATGTATTACATATACAAAATTGTACAATATAAAGTAGATAAATGTTCGTTTGGTATTCAGAGTATCGCATTCATAAACAAAAGTTTATAGATTACTCCGACACTCAAGACACAATGTTAGAAAAGGTAGACATTTCTTCAATGCAAAAGAAGGTCACATAAAAGGTAAAGCAGAGGTATCTTTTGACTAAGACGTTTAGTGCAATGCCAAAAAATATGATAAACAAGATCAACAAGGAAAGGCGGCGTTCAATGAACGCAACCCCCATATATGACCCAGCAACAAGAACAAATGACAAGGAGCCCAGGCGGATCCCAAACAAAAACAGGACTAGGCAAAGACAGAGCACGGACAGGCCAACCATTAAATGACAAATAATTCGATCCTAGGGGATGCTTTATACAAATATTTACTTAAACACAGACACTAGAGTAATAATTGTATAACACTGTGAATTATCTCAAAGGCTTACTTAAAGTGCCCCCAGAGTTAAGTAAAGAAGTATATTTATTGTTCTGCACTGATATCACATACACTTTTTGTTAGCTTTCTTAAGCAAATACATTTGTAAAGAATTTTCCCACAATACATTAGCTATCATAAAAGATTGTGAAATTAACACAGCCATCTCGAGAACATAAAATAAAAATTATATAGTCAAAATTTGACAGATTTTGCTTCAAATAAAAGTAAAGTTCAAATGGAAAAAATTAAAACATATATAAATGCATAAACAAAATGGCTGACAGTGTATCTGGGGAAGTTCCAGACTTAACAAATCAACTAAACAAGGAAGAAACAAGTGCCTTTTTATTTTGTGATCCTTGTTACCAAGATGGAGAAAACAAGGAAGCAGAAGGATTCTGTGTGGAATGTCAGCATTATCTTTGTGATCAATGTTTCAAGTACCATTGCCTTTCTAAACCGATGAAACATCACAAATTACTAGGGAAGTCAGAAATGCCAAAGAGAAAGGTTGATGAAAGTCTCTCTAAAACCTGTTTACATCATGAGGGAGACACCATTCAATATTACTGTAAAACACATGAGACAGTTGGCTGGAACTCTTATATGATCATACACCACAAACCATGCCTTGAAATCTGCACCCTCACAGATAAAGCTAAGGATGTGGAACTATTACCTGCATATAAAGATTTCTGTACAAGAATGGAGACAACCAAGACCAACCTAGAGGATCAGATAAAATCTGCAAGAGAAAACATAGCAATATGTAGATCTTGCAGAGAAAAGGCTCTAACTGAAATCAATAAATTACAGCAGAACATCAACATCCAGTTTGAGTTGCAGAAGCAGGAGCTTGCAAAGGAAGCTGAAGAAAAATACAAAAATGAAATTAGAAAACTGAAACAAGTCGAATATTCAGCCAATGATACAAAAATATTCTTGATAATCTGAAAGAAGATTTTCAAATACTAGAGGAAACAAAACAAAGCAAACAGTTATTCGTTGCATTAAAGAAAAATCAAGAGAAACTGAAAACTCTTGAACAAAAAGTGGCAGATATACAAAAAGAAAACAAAGTGGACAAATATTGTTTTATTCCAAACAAGTTTCTGACCAGTACGCTGAAAAATGTTGATGCTCTTGGTGAACTGTGTGTACAAATGGAAGAAGAGTCAGAAGAGGATCTGAAGAGTTTCTATGGAAACTATCCTGAATATGGAATGCCAAGAGGATGCAAAATATCAAATGAAAATGTAATTATACTAGATACAATTTACAATCGTGTAAAGCTGTATGCAGTAGATGAACATACACTGGTAACAGAGAAAGAATTAACATCATGTCCATGGGATATTGCATTTATTGCTGAAAACGAATTTGCATTAACATTGCCAAATGAAAATAAAATCAAAATCATGTCTATTCAAGATAAAGACATTACAGAAGGAGCAGAAATCAGCGTTGGTGCTAGATATAAGGGGTTACACTTTGCAGAGGACAAGCTGTATGTGGCATGCAGTAAACCTGCACAAGTTTTAGTTCTGAATACAACAGGAACAATAATCAAATGTTATATAAAAGATCAAGCAGGTGAGCAGTTGCTCCAACAACCAGCTTATATATATTTCCATGATGACAAGCAACTGATCTGTGTCTCTGACAGAAAAGCAAGCTGCATTGTAACTTTGGCAACTGATGGTAAGGTGCACAATATCTTCAGAAATGAAAATTGGAAAATGCCTCTTACAATTGTAATAGGCAACAATGAGATCTTTACTTCAGACTTTGAAAAACTAAACACAACAACCACATATTTAACTACTGGTGAATGTCAAACAATCAATAAATTTATATCAGGCAAGTATCAACAATTGAGGCACAAGTCATTTGTATGTGAGATTTACATAGATGATGATGATGATGAAGAAGAAGAAGAGAAATGAGAAGAAGTAGATAAAATCAAACATGAGAAAAATGTACTAAGATTTTAGGAAAAGTATAAAGATTCAAAATTCTAGTAATAATTTACATTTTATGTGCGATTAGTGACCGATTTTTTAGTATTTATAACTATATTTCTACTGCGTTACTAATGCAGTAAGGGCTATTTTTTGCACAGTTTGACCTCTTTATGGTAATTTACATGGGTTGTAAGTTCTATTGATAATGTGTAAATTGTATTCTATACTGTTAAATACATTTTCAAATGTTCACGAAAGTTATCATGAATCTGGAGGCGTCCTGCTTTAAACAAAGAGGATACCCATTTATAACATTTGTCAAAAACATGTTTTATTTCAATTATCAATATTAAGATCTATATTGATACATGACAAAGAGCTATGTTCTTGTCACATGAATGTTTAGTGACACTTGTATATGCCACAGCTTTTGGCACAGAGTGGTGAGCAAGTGTCACGCAGCAGTTTAATATATACTGACTGAAAACAAAAATAATGTTGGTTTTTAAATGATAAAAATTTAAAGAAACAAATAAATATTATTATACCAGAAATTCAAAAGCACAAAAATACACAAATAAAAAAAACTATGCTTACAATTGTATTCCTCAATGAACATAACCTCATTCATGTAGCTTTGTAAATACTTTATCTTACATTTCGTTTCGCTGAGGTAATAGTATCTTAGTCTTACCTAACATAAATTTGACTATTAGTTATTCAATCAATTATAACACAACATGGATTAAAGTAATAGTTACATCTTAACTTTCGTTTCGCTAAGATTATTATTTATTTAATATCCATGTCAGTAAAATTTATACTTCTCTATAACTCATTTGTCAAATGAATGTTTTAAATATAATGACTGATGTAATTGCTGATATTCTACTGTTCTTAGTAGACAAAATCTTATTTAGCAAATTAATTATTCTACAGTTTACATGATAATTACTTTTATTCATTTCGTATAGAAGAGTCATACTTAATATGTAATGTTTGTGTACGTGTGTATATATTTTTATTTTTATTCTCAAGTTGTTATTTTTTAAGATGTCACTTTATGTTGTGCCTATTGTAAATATGTTATGCTCTCCCGTTTGGATGAAATAAAAGTATCTATCTATAACATCTCAATACTCGCACAAACATCCATCACAAAATTGATAATTTCACTATAACAAAGTGAAGATACATGCTAAAAAGCTATGCTCTGCATGTTTAATATTGGAGGAAAAGACTTTTAAAAACATATATATATAAGTGTACCAGACCTACCCATCCCCCCACCAACCCACTTGGCACAGCCATTTTTTAATATCAGTGAAAAATATCAAGGTTCTTCTATGTAATGATACATGCCAAATAACTGAGATCTGGGATTTGTAACTTTACATAAGAATACATAATTATATGAAAATAATTTTTTCTGTCTATGTGACCTCTGGGGCAGGACCAATTATGTCCCCAGGGACACGTTTTACATATGTATATAAATTTTGTAGATGTCAACAAGGGATGCTTGATGCAAAAATATCTAGGCAATATTTTTGGGCATATGGAAATATGTTGTTATTACCTTCTTTGATTTGAAGCTTTTAAAATTCAGCAATTGTAAATGCAGTGGGCTAAACTTATTATATTGGTATTTCTTCCTATGAACATATATCAGTCTTTCAGTTAGAGAGAGACTGCCCACAATATAGCAGAACAGTATTCATGTCCAAAGTTTTAATAAATTACCTTAAAAATTGACATTTTATATGCCTCATTTACAACTTAATTACATATCTCAAGTAACATCAGTTTCAATTAATAAGAGTGTCTCATTTCAAAAATAGAACGTGCAGGTGATGCGAACAAGTAGGGATGGTACTGATCACTCCTGTAAAGTTTGGTTGATATCCAACCAGAAGTTTTGACCTGTTAAGGCCAGACAAGATTTTTCTATTTTTTAGCTCTGGTGGCCATTTTGTGCCGCGAAGTGGGACATGCCGGTGATGTGCACAACTAGGGATGGTACTGACCACTCCTGTAAAGTTTAGTTGAAATCCCATCAGTAGTTTCACCTGTGAAGGCTGGACAAGATTTTTTCTATTTTTAGCTCTGGCGGCCATTATGTGCAGGAAAGCAAAATGTGCTGGAAATGTGCATAACTAGGGATGGTACTGATCACTCCTGTAAAAATTGGTTGAAATCCCACCGGTAGTTTACCTGTGAAGGCCAGACAATTTTTTTTTCTATTTTTAGATCTGGCGGCCATTTTGTGCAAGGAAGCGGAACGTGCTGATAATGTGCATAACTAGAGGTACTGATCACTCCTGTAAAGTTTGGTTGAAATCCCACCAGTAGTTTGACCTGTGAAGGGCGGACAAGCTTAATGCGGACGGACAGACAACCGGACAGACAAACGGCAAAGTGTCAATCAACAAAATTTTATCATTCAAGCGTCAACAATTGACTAACAAGTTATTTGTGTGTGCCTTTTTCAAAGAAGAAGAAGAAAGAAAGAAAGAAAGAAAGAAAGAAAGAAAGAAAGAAAGAAAGAAAGAAAGAAGATAAATAAAACATAGACAATGACTATCATTACAAACTACCTTTTTTACATACATGTATATAACTTCTTACTGTTTTAAATTTTTGATCATTGATAATAGGTATAAACAAGATTGCATTTGAGAAAAATGCTATGCCACCGCAATAATACAACACTAAATAGTAGTGTAGGAACAGATTTTTTTGTTTCTATACAATTGAAGATTGTCATAATGCATATCTAATTCTTATTATCAGATTAGTGGTTAAATCTATTGTTAACTCAATAATAATACACTTTGTCAAAATCTAGGTCAGCTGATATCAAAGTTCACTTTTAATTTTGACACTAGAGGCAAAATATGAACAACTTTGGTAGAGTACCTATAGATGATATCATTTAACAAATATTAAAGCTCTAAGCCTTGTACCTTCAGACAATAAGATTTTTTTTATTTTTTACTATATGTATATATTGAAAATCAATGACCCCGGGGCGGGGGCAATTTTGACCCCAGGGCTATTATTTGAACATTCTTGCTAGAGGTTCACTTCACAATGTTTCATGCAAAGTATCTAACCTCTAGCATTTGTCAATTGCTAGAAGAAATTTTTTTAAAGTTTTTACTATAAGTTTTTACAATGCCTTATGCAAAATATCTAAGCTCTAGGCCTTTTGGGTCTTTACAAGAAGGTATTTTAAATTTTTACTATATGTACATATAGTGAAAATCCATGACCCCCGGGGCAGGGCTGATCTTGACCCCAGGGCTATAATTTGAACAATATTGGTAGAGGTCTACCAGACAATGCCTTATGCAAAATATCTAAGCTCTAGGCCTATGGGTCTTTACAAAATGGTATTTTAAGTTTTTACTATATGTACATATAGTGAAAATCAATGACCCCCGGGGCGGGGCCGATTTTGACCCCAGGGCTATAATTTGAACAATCTTGGTAGAGGTCTACCAGACAATGCCTTATGCAAAATATCTAAGCTCTAGGCCTTTTGGGTCTTTACAAGAAGATTTTTTTAATTTATTCTTATAATTCCTTTTGGAATTCCTGCATGGAATTAAATTCTTTGAACAACTTTGGAAGCCCTTCACCCAAGGATCAATCCTGCCAAGTTTGGTTGAAATTGGACTGGTGGTTTTTCACAAGAAGATTTTTTAAGTTCACTATATAATCTATATAACACACACAAACAAACAAACACACACACACACACACACACGCACGCACGCACGCACACACACACACACACACACACACACACACAGGTGAATCGCTATATGCCACCGCATCGCAGATGCTGCGGTGGCATAAAAACATGAAAAGACTCTGACATATGATTGTGAAATCAGTGTTGTTTGTGCTGTGTGTGGGTCATAAATAGCCGCCCAATACATTTAACCTATGAGCCCCGGGGCGGAGCTAATTTAGAAACTATAG